AACACCAATAAAGCAACTTTTGCTGTAGCTTTAGGCTTGTATGCAGGATTTGCTTGTATGTGTGTGTGTGTGCTTCACTTCCGCTGATTGTGCGACTTCCACACTAACGGAGATTGTAAGTCTAATAATAAGGATTATAAAGAGATGTGGTTGCTCCCTTCTGGATCACCACCTTCCATTCACTTACCTATTCTTGATTTCTGGCTGCCCATGCATCTCATTAAGATTGGCCATGACAGATTTCCGTACCTTTGGCAGTGTGGCCGTGCACTACCTCCTCCTAGAAAATTAAATCAGCATCTCCATAAAGCTTGTCTACTCAGAGCGTGTGAAATTACCAGTCTAACACAAACGTTGTGTAAAATCAACTAACTAATCGTCTTGGACTATCAGGAACAGTGATTGTGTACATATCCAGTCTTCCTTAATTTCCACATGAAATGCAAACTTTACTTTCATCTAACAAGAGAAGTTTGAATCACAAAGCAAATGTTCAGTCTGGTGCAGGAGTGCTTTGACACAAGGAATCCATCATCTGCAGCTCATGCGTTTGGATTTATCTGTGCGAAGCAGCTCTTGATGTGCTGACTTCAATGGGTCCGCTATGATGAAAGTCCCACTAGATGTCAAAAAGTCCTTCTTCCTGATTTGTTTAGCCTTTTGAAGTCAACTATAGCCATATGTATGATGAAATATTGCCTTTAGCATTAAAGAATATTAATGAGTTATGAAGTAATGTTTGTTTTCTGCCTTTATTGCCATGGATCCTCTCCCTGTTAGGGCGACACCCATTTCAGGATACTGACATACCTGACAGACCCATTATGGCTAAAAAACATAATTCTATGACACTGACATTAGCTGAAAATGAACAGATTCTATCATTGTGCAGAATAGCTGCTCATCTTTGAGCACAAATGATCCTGCTGTGCCTCTATACTAATCGGATAAGGTATGCAAGTGTTTTTACTGTGTAGCTGCAGTGTAGTTTAGGTAGATGCTTCCTGGAGTGGGCGGATACAGACAATTTTGATTGCATTAAAACAGCTTAAAACCCCAAGAAGTTGATTTTGCATAATTTAGGCCTTTTAAAGCAATTTTGCTAGAAAGTTTTGTCAAGGCTCTAATAACTTCTGGTTGTGCACCTTCTTCCTGCTGTACCAACCATTGTTCATTTCCCTCAGCTTTCCATTAACATCCTTAAATCTTTAAATAACCAGCTTTGTTGGCAGTTGTATTTTATAGCTTATCCTCATCATGCAGGATGTTTATCACTGTCTTCTGTATAATCTATCAATTCAGCAATCTCTAGGATGATTTTGCAGCCCACTGACCGACTCCAGGTTTGGGAAGCCTTTGAAGGTGTTTTGAGAATGTCAACTGATTAGTCTGACATTGTGAATGACAAGTATTTAACTTTTCTGTTATTTGCAAGCCATAAAAAAAGAAATAATTTGTATTTTGAACATTCTCCCAATAGGCTTATTCTATTTTTACTAATGTATCTCTACATATTCCTATAGAAACAGAACAATTTGCTTTCTCTCCCAGAGTTGCAGCAGAATAATGTCCCCCTGAAAGTGGAGCTCTATTGTTTTGCAGCTCCTGACCTATGAAAGTTTTCCAATAGTCCAGAACTGTCAATATTGTTTGCTCAATGGACCCATTTGATTGGTCTAAGGTGGAGGCCTTCAACAGGGGGTCCATGACCCCTAGGATGTCCACGGAGGTACTGAATAGGGTCGCAAAAGTTTTGGTTGATTAGACTTTTTTTCATATTCCCCCCCGCAATTTTTTCCAGTAATTGAAATGTCTGTAAATACACATGAATTCAACGCACTAAAGTAAACAGATAAATGGAGGCAGAAGATGTCTTTCAGTCATCAATGCACACATTCAGCGACACACAGGAGCTCCTTCAAGCTGGGCACCGTTTCATTTACAACAGCTGTCCCATCAACCAGGAATCAGAATCAGAGATACTTTAATAATCCCATTGCGAAAGTACTTTCGTTACATGACTCCATCTGTAATAGAGGGTTTAAGGCCTCTATGAACTTTTGAACTCGGTCGAGAAAAGAATGCAGCTTGCACATTGAGAACAGGCACACGCTCCTTTCCACAATGTTTTAACAAAGCTAACTAAACAGGCTATTCCACTGGTAGTTATATAGTTTTCACTGCAACCTCTCGGGGGTAAATGTGCTGGTTTATTACCTGCCTACTCAGAGGCTGAAGAGAAGACAACTAATAAACAAAAGAAGGTGTTACATTACCAAATACACCAAAGCAGATTGCAGCTTTATTGTCTATGTAATATTAAATACCTGTATGACAAAACATATGTTTTTTCATAACTGTAGAACTTAAAAGCTACTTTTGTTCTTGTGTTTCTTCTTCATCTCCCTTTCTTTTATGTTTGGCACCATGCTTGATTGGGTATATCACTGTTGCACATGGCTAAAGTGGTTGGAAAAATGAGGGATGGATGTGGACATTGGTAAGCTCTGCCCACTAACTTTACCCAAGAAGATAGGAATCCAGTATACAAATCACTGTAAAATTAATTTATCATATTAATTATAACTTCATAGAAACCAAAAGAAAAATAAAGAAACACTTAATTGATTCACATATTTTAGGGGAGAAGATATAAGTTTGAAATGATTATGGCATGTAATTTGACTAATTAGAAATAGGCAATTCTACATTTATTATTAATCTACATAGTAATAACCTTACATCAACTTAACCAGATGTCACTGGTGAATTCACAATTTAGTTTTTTCCAGATCTGCAAAAAACAAAATGCATTGAAATGATTAACACTTTATATACAAGACTATATTATATAAATGTTTTAATTTAATAGCAGAAAACCACATATTTTTAAATCACTTTACAGTACAGTGTTTTATTTGTTTATTTTTTAACTCTTTACTATTATTATTATGTTATTCTTATACATTTTTCTAAGGTCCACATTTGTGTTAACATTTATTCTAGATTTTTTTGCTGCTTTAACACAAGTATTTCCCCACAATAAAAGGGATTTTTTTTCTATTCTATATTCATAATCAATTTTTTTGTTGACTTGCAGATTTAAGAGAAGTGAGCACTCCTCTGTTTTTGTTTGCATCAGTGTGCATTAAAAACTTTAGTAACAAAGGTTGCTTCAGTTAGTCCCCCTTTAGATCCAGCAGACAAACATCTCTGGTCCAGAATACCCTCATCTCATTGGTCAAGCCAAGTGTTGGCTTGACCAATGAGATGCTCTAGCTATCTTCTCATGGAGAAGATAGCGGGAGACAACAGAGCAGTATGGGGGAATGAACGGAGTAATTTAAATGCTGACGCTGAGCTCAGAGGACATGCAAGTGGAAAAAAATAGGCTATCGGTACATAATGTGGAATTGAGCTAATGATTTTTTTTTCTGTTTTACACCTGCAGCCTACAGTCATTGCATTTAAGGCACAAGTGTGTTTGCAAGTTGCACAAATTTGCTGTTGCACCAAAAATGTTCCCTATTTATTTATTGTTTTGTATTCATTTTTACACTTTGAAGTTAAGCAGGATAGGCTTATGTTTCTTATGGTTTCTATGAAGATATTTTATTCAGCAAAGTTTGTGATTGTGCATTAATGATCTGGAAATACTAATCCATGCGTTTATCTTTAGTCGAATTGATTACTGCAACAGTGTTTTCACAGATCTGCGGAAAAAGTGGATCAGACAGCTGCAGCTGATCCAGAACGCTGCTGCCCGTGTCCTCACTAAGACTAAGAAAGTAGAGCACATCACCCCAGTTCTAAAGTCCTTATACTGGCTCCCTGTATCTCAGAGAATAGACTTTAAAATACTTCTGTTAGTCTATAAATCTCTGAATGGCTTAGCACCTAAATACATCACAGACTTGCTATCAGTGTATCAACCCTCCATGCCACTCAGGTCTTCTGGCTCCAGCCTGCTCTGCATACCTAGAACCAGAACTAAACATGGAGAAGCAGCATTTAGTTCCTATGCTCCACTTATCTGGAACAAACTTCCAGAAAACTGTAAAAGTTCCTTTAAATCAAGACTAAAAACACATTTGTTTAGGATTGCCTTCGACTGTCCTAGTTAATATTTAATATTCTTTTTTTGTTTCTGCATTTTTTATTTTATTTTATTTATTTCCTACTTGCTTTGATTCTGTTTTATTTTCCTATATTTTAATCATGTAAAGCACTTTGCATTGTCTTTGTACTGAATTGTGCTATACAAATAAATTTGCCTTGCCTTATGTGAATTGATGGATAATAATTTGTTTTCCATGTGTCCATGTCACTCACAAATATGCATCTAATTCAATGCAGATTTGATCAAAATAGTTAAAATTCAAATATCATTTCACACACAAATAGGGGCTAAAAAAAATCCCCATACATGGAGGAGTAAAGGCAATCAGCTGGCACGCACATTATTAGTTGTTTTGTTTGTTTTTTTCAGGGAGTTGGCAACCCTAAATATAACACTTTTTGTGCTCCATACTTTTAGGTCACAGTTATGGGGGAAAACTGCTATCAACCAGTTCCTGTGATTCTAAAAACGATCTGTTTTTATCATTTTTTTTTAAAGCCTGGATCACGACATGTTTTCAGCTTTTTTTTTTTTTTTTTATAACAAAACGAGAACTGACAAGGTGCTTATATAAAACATTACATAAAACAATGAATGCACAGCCAGAACAACTGGGGACAAACTGCATGAACCAAAACAAACGAGCTGCTTTTTCTTTGGTTCATTCTGATCTATCATGCTGTTAAATTATGCTTAGAGCCTCTACAATAAAAAACAAAAAAACTGTAAACTTATTCAGCCAATTCCCATAATCGGCCACGCACCGCACTGCTGTCTGCCGAGGTTATACAATATTATTCACTTATATAAGTGAGCCACAAAACCAGCCAATAGGAACGCTCCTCGGGGGTCACGTGGTGTTTTGCGAACGCTTTAGCGAACTGTGTGAAAACCAAAGAAGCTTTAGCTGCTGAAGACAGTTAGCAAAGCAGTGCAGTGTTTCTCTCCGACGGACACTTTGTTTTATCTGCTGTTTTCTCGGTTTTACAGTCGGAGCGACGATAACCGGATTCCTTGAAAGGTTTTGGGAATACCGGCTCTAAAAGGGTTCGTTTTAAAGAGTTTGGAGCTCGGTAAAGCAGCAGTTGGTGTTAGCTAATCTCTGTTAGCAAAAGCTTTCTCGTTGTCTCGTACAAACATAACAGACTCGTAAATCTACTTGTATTTTTATTTTAATGCTATCTAGTTTGGACATAAGTTCGTAACCTGCTGTTAGTGAATTTGTGCATTTGTACTAGTAGTGAATAAGCTTTTCACTTCGGTTCAGCTTAAAGGGTTTAGCCGCGATGTAAGAAAACAACTGAATCCATTGACATTTATTATAAAACGCTTGTTTGTTTGGATGTTTCTCTAAAGATATGGGTTGGTTTAAGCGCGCGTTTTCTTATGAGCCGTAGCCTCATTTAATTTACTATTTTATTTTTAAGTTATTATTAATTTATGTCGTATTTATAAGAGATAATGGCTGTGAATTGGGGTCGAGTGGAGCGGTGGTCTCTTTCAAGATCAAAACTTTTAAAGGACACTGAAAAACATTTTGGGAACCTGCTGGTTTGGTCAAAAAGACATTGAGTGTTTTATTTATTTATTTATTTTTTTAAAATCACTGTGAGGAGAAGATGGAGACGGGGGTTCTGCCTAACCAGGGCGACCTGCTTCTCCACCCGCTCTCCAGCCCTGCAGCTGCGGGGCTCTGCCCTGAAATGCTGGATGTAGCCGAGGAGGCCAACCGGGCTGGTGACTTTAACCTGGCCGTAGAGATCTACACCTCCCAGCTCGCAGACCTCCAGCAACCGGATCGGGGCTTGTGCCTGAGGAAGGGCGACTCTCTCGCCCGCGCGGGGCGGATATCAGAGGCGCTAGAGGCGTACTGCATCGCTGCCAACCTGGGCCATCTGCGCCCGGAGGAGCTGGCCGTCCTGGTGGAAACCATCGCCCGGACACTCCGCGTCAAAGAGCTCGGCCTCCCCGTTACCCAAAACGGGCAGACGAAAAGCAGCAGCAGCGGCGGACAGGAAGGGAATCTCACCGATGGGGATTGTGAAGAACATGAAACCCTGGACTTGTTTTCCTGTCGCCTCTGCAAACGCCTGCTACAGGAGCCCACCACGCTGGAGTGCGGGCACACTTTCTGCAAACGATGCCTAGAAAACGACTCCGTCAAAGATTGTATCAACTGCAAACAGAAATTTAGCAAATTAGACAGGAGAGTCAACGTGGTTCTCAGTGGCCTTTTGGATAAACTGTTTGAAACTGAGAGCAGAGCCAGGAAAATGTGGATCGAGGGGGAAATGCTGTGGAGCAAACAGAACCTGGCAGGTGCTCTGGAGATGTTCAATGCAGCAGTAGATCTAGGTAAGTTTGTGTAACAGAAATGGGACGTTTTATATGTATAATTAAAACAGTAAGTGACCTACTTTCTTGTGTAACTTCCTCGTGTCACCGATAGTTGGCGCCCGTTTGCCGTTTAGTTATGTGACGCACTGTCCTTCGTTACCTAAGCGGCACGCGTCTCATAATTCCTACCAAGGCCCCATTCATATCCTATTTTCTATTTTTACTTCAGAGTGCCGTGGCCTTCTCATTGAAATGATGCATTAATATAACCAAACATACCAGTTATTTAATTATCACACTCGTATTTGTGATCTTAGTCCATCTTTATGTTTTTTATTTTCCTTTATGACTTAATTTGGCTTCTGAGAGCTTCAGCCCCCCTGCTCTCTTTAATTGGACTGTTTCACGAGCTGTGTTGGATAACAGCTTAAAAAACAGCTCTCATAATCTATAGATGACATGACTAAAGATTTAGGTAACATAGAAGTTATTAATGCTCTCTTTTTTTATGTTTGATTCTTTTTTTTTAATACCTGGACAAAGTAATAGTAAAAGGCCATCTGGTTCTTAGACATGAGTTTGTAACCTGCTGTTAGTGAGTTTGTGCATTTGAACTAGTGTAGAATAAGCTTTTCACTTCGGTTCAGCTTAAAGGATTTAGCAGAGATGTAACAAAACAACTGAATCCATTGAAATCTATTATAAAATGCTTGTTTGTTTGGATGTTTCTCTAACGATATGTGTTGGTTTAAGAGCAAGTTTTCTGAATAGCCGTAGCCTCTTTTAATTTACAGTTTTTTATTTGTAAATTATTATTAATTCATGTTGTATTTATAAGGGAGAATGGCTGTGAAATGGGGTCGAGCAGAGTGGTGGTCTCTTACAAGTTAAAAACTTTTAAAGACACTGAAAACCATTTTGGGAACATGATCTATAATGGAAAATAACTTTTTCTGGTTTGGTGAAAAATAATAAGTGGTTGCACACTTTAGAAAAAAATTAACCCTGATCCAAAACTCCTGTATAATTTGAATAGTAAGAGGAAGCTGAACGGAACTGTATTTTCACACCTTACCCTTATTTATTTGTTGTTGTGGCACAAATGCATATCTCAGGCGTTCGCCTCTTCTTCCTGCTTGGAGATTCATCTCAAACTCTGGCAAAATGAGTCTCTCCCAGTATTCTGTTCGCACAACTGCTGATATTTGCCTCAATATTGATTCATGCTTTCTGTGTTGTGGAGACCTTTGGGTGACAGAAGGATGGAGTGCTTTCACAGTGTTTTCACTGCCAGCCGCTGTTTTCCCAAAACAGGCAGCAGGAGGCCTTCTGGTGTCTGCAGCTTGACTATAACAGCATCATGCATAGAAATAGATTTTTATCTAATATGTGCCTTTTTAGCCTGGTTTTACCTCTGTAATAGTAGATCTAATATATGTTACTAACATTAAAATAAATAATTAAGGTCTTTTTTTTTTTTTTAGCAGTCAAATACATTAATAACAAGGAAGATTTTGAATTGTAGAGTTGAAATTTGCAGTTAGAGATTATTTTGCAAATCGATTAATCTGTTTTTCGATTAATCGATTAATAATCAGATGGCAAAATGTTCCTTAGAGAAGATTTTTTTACAAAATTAAACCGGGGAAACTAAAATGTTTCCACTTGAGTTCTGGCTAGAGCATATTTACAGAGGAAATGTTTTTTTTATTTTATTTTAAAGACAAGATGTTTATATATATATATATATAAATATTTGTACAACTTTGATATAATTATTACTCTCAAGTCAGTCGCTCTGCTAAAGGCATGTTTTACAGTCTCTATACTTCATTTAACGGTTGACTGATTTCTAAATTAGTTGATGATTGTTTAAATAATAGATTAAACCCGATTGTTTAAGCCTAGTTATAAGACTCCTATCATTTCTCATACATGGTTCTTATATTCTATCTTTTTTTCCCTTGTTTATATTAGAATTTTTGTTTTTCTAGATGGTTGGTCTGCTGCTTGTAGTTTGAAAATTGAGTTTTAAATTGGTGTTACTTTAATAAGACAGATGCCTGAAACTCTTTTATTTTGGATTCCACAACTTTCTAAGTGTTTTTTGAGAATGAAAGTATTTCCAAGATTGGTAGGGAAATCTTAAATCCTGTTTAGCCCTCAGGCAGCTGTCAAGCAGTGTACAGCAAATTGTTTCTGGCATCCTAATTGGAAGTATAGGAGTTATGTGATGGAAAATCTTTGCAGTTTGGAACCGGTATTAGTTAAAATGGTGGTGACTTGCAGATGATAGCCAGTTGTGTATGGAGTAGATTCTGTTCCATTATTGTTGCAAACAAAGATCAAGTTTTTTTAAATGGAAATTTTAAAGAATACATCCATGTTTGCTTCTATATCGAAATTTGAAAAAATCTAAACATAAAAAAACAATTTAATTCAAAAAGGGTGATTTTTTTTTTTTTTTTTTTACACTGTCTCTTCACTCCAGCCAAATATAAATGGTAAAGAATGCAATTTGTAAAACTAGAGAAATAAAAAAAGAAAAAATTTATTCTGTTAAACATTTGAGGAAAAAAAATCCTAAAGAAATAGAATCGACTTTAAGAAAACAGCCTAATTCTCTTATCACTGTAGCGATAAGCGACGATAAAAACTACCAGCAAAATATTTTGTATTATAAACCTGTCACTAAATTCTGTCTTGAAAGCCCTACAAAATACTAGAAACCACTAAACTATATCAATTAACTTCAAGTACTGCACCTGTACTGCAAAACTGTAGTGATACCAATCAAATAAGTCTGAAATATGAGAGACCAAATTCCAAATTTATTCAATTAATAAGCCAAGTCAGCAAAACTGACTTGGCTTATTAAAAAAAAAACAAAGTGGCGCAACTGCAAACTCAACCTGATAAATAGTCATCTCATGATAAAAACGATAAATTCAAACTGTTATTGTGGGGAATTTCTTTGACGATATATCGCACAGGATAAAATATCGCCCATCCATACTTGCAGGTTACTTTCTTTAATGAGAAAACGGGTATTTAAACATGACTGCTTTTTTGGATTTTCCACATTATTCCTTTTTAACCCGTCTTGCCTGGTCGCCTTATCTTCTCCTTATCTTCTCCTTGTCATACTGTGCAGGTAGCCTGACCGGCCATATCAGTCTGGACAGGAGCAGATAGTTCAAAGAGTTCAGCTTATTATGGATGTGACACAAAAACATCTTTTTGAAAAGCTCTTACGGCAGCAAGTTGTTGAAGTTTTAATGGTCTAAGCAGCTCTTTTAGGACATAATCAAGGTCATCTTGAAAACATTGCACCATTGTAGCTGCAATCTGGTCTGTTATGGTTACTGTGTTTTGATCTGTGCTAAAAAGAAGAGCTAATAGCATAAAAAAGAACACGTGGAACCAAAACAGCTCTTTCCTGATCAGGATGAAATTCTGTCACGGTATTTGTTTACAAAATTTCTGTCTGTTCTCTTCCTATCTATGTCTTTGCATTGTCACGTGGGCATGTTGTGAGAAGAGGCTACCTGAGTGGCATGTGAGGCCACTGCTATGCGTAGCATCTTTGTTTTTGCATGTAGTTGCTCAATAAAATCAGGACTGTCAGTCCTCTTAAATTGTCCCGATTTAAGGAAAAGTAGCACATTGATTCTGAGTAATAAAAAAAAATAAAAGCTCTTCTAAGCTTTCAAAGACTGCACATTTCCAGTCTAACAAACAACATAAAATAAACTTGCATGTCAGCATAATAGATCATGAACATATTACTCTCTCTCTAGACCACTTTGGTCTGGTTCTGCTTTAGTCTTTGCACGTAAGCCAGCCTGATAATTTAACCCGACACCTAATAGGTCGCAGTTGTAACATGATACCTTTTACACCGAGTGGCTCTTGACTGTACATTTTGGTTGCAGTAAAATCCATGGTCCTCGACATAACTGAGAATCTGGGGAGTCCTCTATCTGATATTCTTGGTTGTAATAGCAAGAAAGGCAGAATCTTTAAATAGTAGTAATTTCCGGAGGATGAGGATCTAGATATTTTCCTCTCTATATCAATTCTGCTTCATGCCTACTGTGTCCTTTGGGCGACAGAGGGAAGGAGAGCAGGCGTCTGTTTCCCCATAGCAGAAAGCAGGATGCCATATGATGTCAGCTATAGTGACAGTGTCATAAATAAAAATGCAGAATGTATTTAGGCTTTCATTTTTTTATACATCGAAAGCTTAGTTTGCTACCCCTATAATTTTGAGTTAACAACCATCTAATTTAAGGAAACGAGAATAAAAGGAACTGCCTTTTTATTGAACATGTGTCTCTAAAACTATACCTTCAAATCTGGACATGCTTATGTTTGGACAAAGCAGATCTTAATTAAGTTCCCTCCTCTGATTCAAACCCACCCAAAGATGGGTTGTTGCAGATTTGATATTACTAACAACCAGAAATTATATGTTTGGGAGTTTGTAAGGTACTGATGGCTTAATTGATTTTATATAAATGGGAGTGACACCTGTGAATTTAATGCAGCGCATCAAACAAACAGGTTCTTTGTGCATTATTAGAGATCCGCCAAAGAGTTCAACCCTAAGATCAGTTTTTACGACCAGTTGCTCGGTGTTTCACGATGAAATGCCTGGCGAGAATCGTTAGTCTAATCAAACAGTTTTGTGACACCAAGAAGAATTTGACGCCATATTATGGACAAAATGGAGCTGTAATTTGAAGAGCTTCTTGCATTGACCCATAAGATTTCGGTTTGATTTGAGAGAAACGTTTTTGGGGTAAATTGTCAAGCTGAAGATAAAAAAAAAAAGAAAAAAATTAATTTTTTTTTTTTTGGTACAAGAAATCTGTTTTGATTACATCTTCACTTGCTGAGAAAGAAGCTAAAAGGTCACACCGATAGGGTCAGTGACCCTGATATTTAGAGATGTCCTGAGGTCTAATAATATAAAATAAGGGTTTTTAAATTCTATACTGGGAGGTAGGTGCCTACTAACATAATTTTCACTGCAGGGGGACTGATGTGATTCATATACGAGGACTTTGTTAGTAAAGAACTTTATGTGGGGAAAAAAATGAGTCAGAATTTAAAGACAGCTAGAAGCAAATGAGCTATAAGATGGAAGTTACAAGCACAACAGAAGCCCCAAATTTCTGGACTGAGATCAAAGATCATGTTGGATAAAGACGGCTTTCAAACCGGACTCTGATAGGCCGGGTTTGGGCTCAAGCTCTATAAAACATTTGGCAAAAGCTTGAGGAATCACAGTTGAAAAGAATAATGTTGAAAAGTCCTTTACTGTGGAGAAAATTGAAAACTGACTAAAACTGTCAAACAGATCAAGTTTAAAGTTTTATGTTTAAAAAAAAAAGAAGAAAAAGCTTGTCTGTCTTTTTTGTTTTTATAAGCACTGATATGCAAACTCCTGATTTTAACTGTGTACAGTAATGTCAACAAGAGGAAGTCTAGCCCACGTGCAGCCATTGTTGATACGTGCAGCGCATCATGCGAGTCCTTCACTTTGTACACATGATGTCATAACCTAACTCTGTGGCCAGGCTGGTTTTTAAACAGCTGCTCGGGTTTTAGAGCTACATGTCAGCCTTGTGTTAAGATTTTGAAGCACAATACTACAGTACAAAAAGTTTTGTGTGTTTAATTATTAAAACTGGCTCTCCAAAATTCAGGGTTAAACTCTCAAAGTTATAACCACTAGTTCGATCCTAAAAACTACATTAAACTTTATCAGTTGACAAAGTTTACAAACTTGCAGCATCTCATTAGTTTAAGATAACCCAGTTCTTTAATTTATTCTTTAAAAAGAAAAAAAAAAAAACATTTTTAATGCAAACAAGGCCGAATGTGATTCACCTTGATACTGGAATGATAATGTTGAGTACACAATGTTCCAAGCTGCTCACGCTCCTCTGTTACGTTGTTGCCTCACTTGTCTGACCTAAAAAACAGGTTTATTCCATGGAGCACTGTCTGACTGGGCTTTTGTTTTGTTTTTCTCTATAGTGCCCTCTGCCGGCAGCCTGCTATGTCAACGCGCTGAGCTGAACATGGAGATGAGGAACTACAGCCAAGCTGTGCAGGACGCCAACAGTCTCTGCAGGTTGAAACCTCTCTGGACGAAGGTGGGTCTCCGTTGTAAATGGCACAGCCAGAAATGAAATTATTGAGAAAAGTCTGGAAGTTTAATGATTATCCAGGTCTAGTTATGAATGTTAAAAAACTAAACATTTGAGCTTGGAGAAAAGTTTTCTGACTTTAAATCCTGGCTCCTTGTAAAATATAAGGATTTCTAAAAGATAAATGCACCTTTTCACATCAATTGAACCGTTTTTTGGATGATTGTTGTTATATGAAAGCAGGAGCTTTTTCCACCTCATTGACCGGTTTGATGTTTGGCTTCTTGAAACTTTTGCAAAAGTTGACAACATTTTTAATTGTCTCTAGATCTGAAAGTTTAGCTTTGGACTTTATTTATTTATTATTTCTAAAACATCTAGAACACACCATAATAGACTCATTTATGTCTTATATTCTACATTTATGACCTTATATCAGATGTCATGCATTACAGCTCCCACCATAAGATTAACATCTGATATCATATTATATCAGATTTTATTCTGATGGTGGGAACTGTAAAGCATGAGCATGGTCATCTCTGTCATCTGGGATCAATAAGATAAAGTTTATCTGGAGATAAAAGCAGATGATAAAACCTAATAAGGTGAATGTTGTTTGAAATATTAAGAGTGAAATTTAAGAAGAAGAAAAAACTGAAAGTACACTGCTCCTTTTGATGGTGGTGTTGGTTTTAAAAATTCCTTAAATTATTTTGTTTGCAAGCTTTAAGATACTATTTTTTAATGTGTGAAAATGGCATCTAATCCCTGAACAGAACACCTTAAAATGTTAAAGATGTCATCAGCAGAAACACAAGAGCATCCCTAGAAATGTAGTCAGTTTTCTCCAACTATCGAACCATCTTCTATCCAGTTTGCTACCTGATAAATGTTTGGAGAGCGTTGTGGGAGCTCAGCATCAGTTAATCTTCTCTTTTTCTCTGGTGTTTCAGGCTCACTGTCTGAAAGCCACAGCACTGAGTAAAGCTGACCGAAACGACGAGGCCTTACAGGAGTACTTCCTGTGTTTGGCGCTTAAGCCAGACTGGACCAAAGTGAAGCTGGAGGCTCAGAAGGTAGGAGAGACCTTTTTTTAGTTGCAGGCTGACTGCATCAGTGTAGAGTCTGCAAGTTCCTTCCCAGACAGAAGATTAAAGTTATTGTTCCTAATAATAATGTTTGTCTTATCAGATTCGTCTCTGCTCGGATTAATGCATTAATCGCGGGGCGTTGTTTTTTTTTTTGTTTCAGGTGCTCAGTGAGGTCTTTTCCTCTGTGTTTGAGAATGAAGACATGCCCACGCCTCTGCACCCCCTGCAGGGGGGGTTCGCCACTCGCTTGATCAAACCCCCCGCCCTGTTGCAGTCCCTGAGGCCGCAGACTCACAAACCAGGCTGCTCCTCACAGGTTAATGCACTCAAAGAGAATTGCAATGAAATTACAAGTTTTCCTAATCTGTTGAGAGGAAACCAGATGGTTTTGACAGATTTGTTTTTGATGCATTTTGTTAGCTGTAGATATAGGTTTAATTCCTTTGAATTCAATTTAACGGTAGTCTCAGCATGTTTTACTGACTGCGTAGAGTTTATCTTGAGTTTTCACCATCTCCTCCAAACCGTAAAGTCATTTCAGTCATTGGTAAAGTAGAAATGAGTTTTTATCATGTTTTTAATTTGTTTGTTTACCTAAAAAAAAAAAGTACACACTTGATGTATAAAAGATCAAATCTTAAACTTTTAATTTAGTTTGCATGCTTAAAAAAAAACAGCCCAAACGGATTCAGCAGCTTCTCGTTCCATCTGTCGCCTATAGGACTCTGAGTTCGGCGTAGCAAAAAGCACTCCTGTGGACGGGTCACCTTCCGAGCTCTGTCCCACATCTCCGAAATCCGAACTGGCTGCAGGAGAAGGCAGCTCCAAAGGTCTGGCTGGCGTTTTAGCTTCATTACCAGCGCCCCATGGTGGACTTAAGAGGAAGCACAGCAGCGATGGGGCTTCAGCACCTTTCAACCCTCCTTCGAAACTTTCCAAACCTGGTAGGAGGAGATTAACATCAGTTAACCCCGTTGTGACCTGATGCAACATGTTTTAGTTTTTATCAGTCACGTGGAAATGTTAAATGTTGATTTAAAATGATAGCTTCCTGTATGTTCTCATCATTAATTGTGAACTGGAGATTTTTAGGAGAAATGTCTATTAATTAGAAAGATTTGTTCTTGTTGTTTTGTTTTCTTTTTCTCTCTATTTGTGATTTCAAAACGGATATAGATATTTAGCATTATTTAAAGACAGATATTGTTTATTTTACAGTGTTTAAATGTAAAGTAATGTTTACTTTAGTTGGATCTAAAGTGAATATAAATGTAGATGCTGAGTAAAGGTTGAAAAAAAATTTTACCATGCAGTGACGCTTTATTTCTTATTCAGATGATGTGAACACTGTTCAGACGGCTTCAGTCAGTGGAGGTAGAGTGGTTCCTGCTCATTTACTGGACAGTGGAGACCTGGAGTGCTCCCTCTGCATGAGGTGATTCAACACACACGCTCTGTGTAGTCCATGTGTTCAATAATTAGATGCCATGTTAAACTAAATGCGGAGTTTATCCTAAAAAGCAACCATTTAATTTGCAAATGTTTCCTCCAGGTTGTTCTACGAGCCTGTAACTACTCCCTGTGGTCACACCTTCTGCCTAAAATGTTTGGAACGCTGCTTGGACCACAATCCTAACTGCCCTCTATGCAAGGAGAATCTGTCTGAGGTACAACCCCATGAAATGTAATGATTACGGTGTTAGATTGATGCAGTCTATGGAGTTACACCCTTACTTCCTGTTTTATCAGATATATTCAGGGTTTCTGCGGGTTATTAAAAGTCATTCAATTATATATATTTTTTTATTAAGGCCTTAATTGGCATTATAATTCATGAAATATGATTATCATAGCATTTAAAATGCTTTATTAAAAAAATACATTTATAAAAACTATTTCGTCAGATATAACTGGTTCTGCGTGTTTGCTTGGAACTGTTTCTGGTTGATCGTAAAGCCGTATGTTCAGAAAAGAAGCTTGAGACTGAGAAAAGGCTAGAGAATGGGGTAAATGAAAATTTCGAGAAAAAAAACTGTCTGGAAGCATGGCTACGGCCTGATGGGCGGTAAAGATGACGAAAGAATAGAGTTACTCATTCCTGTATAAACCGTGATATTGAAATCCCTAATGCTGACATTAATGCAAAGAACTAAGAAATCTGGAAATGAAACAGTGGTTTTTGTTTCAAAGGAACCATGTTTTCTGTGTTTTGTTAGTGTCTTGCTACCAGAGGTTATAATAAAACCTTTCTGATGGAAGAGGTCCTGCGTCGTTACCTTGGAGACGAGCTTGCTGAGCGGAAGAAAATCCATGAAGAGGAAATGAAAGAGCTTTCTAAGTAAGTTTTCCATGAATACGAGTCATATCAAAGCATTAAAAGGCTTACTATATGTAATGTCTGTGATGTGATAAAAGCACTTAGATCAAAATCAGTGTTTCTGCAGGCGTGTCTCCTGGTAACCACAGGATGCATGCATGCGATCACCTGCATGCAGATATGCATATGTTCATGAGATTTGCACATTTTCTTCATTCCAGAAATAATTGGAAAAAAAAAAATACAAACAAGATTACTTTAATTTTTAAGCCAAAATATAGTTTCCTAAAATATTTTAACAGTTGATTTATAGAGTGTGTTTTGATCCATTATTGGTGGGAAACAATCTGTTTTGTAAATGGAAATTTGAACTAATTGAAACTTCCCAATTTAAATTAAAAGGTTTTTAAAAGTAACGTTGCCGTTTTCAAATTGCTTTTTATTTTCTAATTTATTTATTTATTTTTTTTAGTTTTAGATTTTAAAATTTTATTTTTCAAATTTCACTTTTTTGTTTTACAAATTGCATTCTTTTCATATAGTGTTTTTAATCATCACATTCTCTTTATTTTTTGATGGCTAAGACTAATTTCTATTGGTCTGCAAAGATATTGGCAACATTTTGGGGGGAACTTTGAGTAAAGAGAATGAGAGCGTGAATGTAAATCACAGTTTGAAAAGAACGCAAATGGTAGAACAACCTGAAAAGAATAAATTTGGAAAAATAACATAAAATCTATTTTTTTTAAAAAGCAAAACTTTGAAATATTAGAGATACAAATGTGAAATAAAGTGTAAAAAAACAACAACAAAGTTACTCTATTTCTTTTACTATCTGCTCTGGTCATTATTTTATCTTTACTTTCTTTGACTTTATTGTTTAATTCATGTAAAGCACTTTGAATTATGTTTATGCTAAACAAATAAACTTAGTTTGATTTCTGGATTTATTCCCATTTATAGAACATTTTCTTTGCTTTCAACAATAATGGAACAAAATTCTCTCCATATTTAATCTAATCTGTTTTTATGCTCCTCCCTGGTGTATTCATTATTTGTTTGCTTTCTTAGGAGCATCATCAGAAATGACTGCTACAGTGATAGTCTCCTTTCTCTGTGTCTGTAGTCTGAACCAGGAAGTGCCCATCTTCGTCTGCACAATGGCCTTCCCCACCATCCCCTGCCCGCTTCACGTATTTGAGCCGCGCTACCGCCTCATGATCCGCCGCTCCATGGAAACTGGTACCAAGCAGTTTGGCATGTGCATAGCTGATGAGTTAAAAGGCTTTGCAGACCACGGCTGCATGCTGCAGGTCGGTTTCCTCCTCACACTTTATCTCCTCGTACTTCAGGCGCGCGCGGACTTTATAGGTTAAAGCTGGACCTTAATTTTTACAGGTGCGGGATGTGAAGTTCTTTCCTGATGGCCGTTCAGTGGTCGACACCATCGGGGTTTCACGGTTCAAGGTCCTCAGCCACGGACAGCGAGACGGCTACAACACTGCTAAGATCGAGTACCTGGAGGACAGGAAGGTGAGCTGGGAACAAAAAAAAAATGCTTATTTGGATCATTTCTAGAAAAGTTCAGATCTAGCTCTTAAGATCTCACACAAAGCATAATTTCATCCCTTCTAAAGTGATGAAAAAAACCAGATCTGTAGATTAAAATACTGTGCAATCTTCGTTCATAATCAGGTCGAAGGGGAGGAGCTAACGGAGCTCCTGAAGCTGCACGACTCTGTGTACGAACAGGCCAACAACTGGTTCACATCGCTCAAGGACAACATGAAGAGTCAGATTCTCAGCCACTTTGGACATCTTCCCAGCAAAGATCCAGACCCACAGGTTGGAAGACCTTAAAATCCAGATATTTAAATATTTTGGTAAAGATCAGACTCCCTCACAAGCTATTAATGGTTTTAATGCATTAGAACAACAGAAAGTAGACCATACAGTTGGTATGAAATGGAAAAATCAATGGTTGCAGAAGTCACCAGATCGAGTCCGTCTGTGTGGAAGTTATTAACTGGATAAATCCAGCGGTTTGTTAGGACAGGAGTGAGTAATCGGCATAGTGACTAAAAGATGGAGAACTGTTCGATCCAGTACATCCATAGAGAGAACATGGAGAAAGAAATCAGAACCTTCTGCCTTCAGGGCAGCAGAGCTACCAACTTTTCTATTGCATAGCTCTTATTTTGAAAGCATAAATAGAAAAAAAAAACTTGCATCTTTTTCTTCTACTTTGTGTTGATCTAGAACAGCAAACCTCAACTAAAGGTTTAAAAATCAATTATGATGGCATGAAAATTAAACTAGATCTCCTGAGGCAGTCATTTTGATGGTTCTGAGATTCTGAAGTGAAGGAACTTTATATACATTAATCTTACGTTGGTCATGTTAACTGACACTTTTTTATGAAATAAAAACCTAAAAAATAAATATGGTTAACTTTACCCTGATCTCTCACAGCTGTCATTTTCACGGCTCTATTGGTGTGATTGTAAATTCTTCCCTTGGTTGATGAACGTTCAGTACTGTCGCCCAGCAACCAGCTCATTATTTTTGTCATAAATGTGAAAAGGTGACGTGAGAGAGAACCAATCAGTTTCTGTAAATAAATTTATAATTTCTAACTTTAAACCTGTGTAGTAAAACAGTCTTATTTATTTTACGGATTTATTTGTGATAAAAAAAAATTAGACTACATATAATAATAGCATATAATACAGCCTCTAAAAAATATATATTAGGCGCGTTTTAAGGTCTGCATATCCACAATGGTTTTATATGGCACACTAGAACAATTTCGGTCAATGACATCATTACGATTCTTGCATCCCATTGGGTAAAATGTCAAATTGACTGCCAGTGGGAGTTCTACTAGTGTCAGGACTCTGGGAGTCTTGGTGTTAAAAAATAAAAGCACTCTGAAGGCGTTGCTATGCTCCTTGAGAACTTAACGTTTATTGTTGGTTTTGTTCCCTTGCAGGCCAGCCCTGAAGGTCCCGCTTGGTGCTGGTGGCTGCTCGCTGTCCTTCCACTGGAGAACAGAGCCCAGCTCACCATCCTGGCCATGACCTCCCTCAAGGATCGCCTCATCGCCATCCGAAGGGTCCTCATCTTCGTCACTCGCAAGAGGCCGCGGTGATCGGTTTCCCTTCCTGTGCAGCTCAGAAGGCTTGATCCTCGCTGCTGTCTGACTCGCTCCTTCACTAACTGACTCACTCCTTTCGTCCTGTCAGCTCACTCTAAAGAAGTTCATGAACTCGTTCCTGTGACATGTAGCCTCAGAGCACCGAGTTCTGACCGTGTAGCTTCTCACTGCAGGGTTTCGCTTTACCTAACAAAAAAACTTTTGGATTTTTTCACTTCACTTTGTCCGGAAGTGCTGGATTTTTTTGTTTTATTTTGAAGGAACAGAAACAAGAGCGAAGCGGCTTCTGGATGAATTATACATTCAGCAGTAATAATAACAAGAAACCTAACCACCACAGAAACCTGCAGAAGAAAAGGATTTATTTAAGCATGATTGCAACTTGTAATGAATGTACCGAATGTTCCCTCCCGCCTTATTATCTTTACAAAATCTGTCAAATGAATTTCCTTGTAGGAGAACTAAAAACTGCTGCCTCACCTTCAGTGTTCCTGAGCCAAAAAACAGACCCGGTGGATGGCAGCTAGCTGCCAGAAAGAAAGCCCTAACTGTCATGACTAGAGATGCAGCCATACCGATATTTCCTCCAGTTTTAGTTTGATCTTCTGATACTCATTGTACAGTGTCTGGTTTATATTTCAGAATTACAGTAAACCTAACAATCTGTGAATGAGAGCTGCTTTAAACCAGAGCAATCTCACAACATTTCAGACTACCATCAGCATTTTTTTTTTAATTCTTAAGCCATTACAAAATCCAGCATTTTAGGATAAAATATTGCTGAAAGCCTCTCTATCTCGCTGCCTAAAATGAACCAAAGGAGAGCCTCAATATGTCATAGGAAATGCAGCTCCCTTTTAAAACGTTTCTGATATCGCTAGGAAAGCTTTCTCATACAATGAGTAGCTAACTGGGTGAGTTTTCTTTCCACAGTTGCAGCATTTGCACCTAGTGTGTATTCCCTGATAAGAAAGCGATGGATTTTTTGCCGGCCGCCGGGCCAGGACCAATAAAGATGGAAGCCAGGCGATTCCTCTGTGGATATCTAGCTGTGGCTGTTCAGCTCATCTTCATATTTGAACCAAATTTAAAACAACTACAAAACTCTGGTTTCAGAAAGAAAGCAGTGATAGAAATTCGTCCAGGTGTCACTGATCTGAAGCGTCATGTCCTAATGTAGCAAATCTGAGGGAGGTTGTATGTGAACTATTCTGTTTGCCCGTAGCCGTTTGTGGAGGTGGTTCCTTTCTATGTCGATCAATGAAATTTGGAGGCCTTTTTTAAATGTTATATTCAACGAACAATTTCATTATCTCTAATCTTTCCTATTCACTGTCTGTATATTAATATGCATAAAATAATAATGCAATTTCCACCCTGTTGGGTTTCCTTATAAACATTATATTTATATATAGGTAGCCTTAAAGAAAGCAATTGTGTTTTTATCCAATTTTATTTTAAAATCTTTATATATATATTTTTTTTTTTTCTTCTTTACACTTAAATTCTCCTATAATTTCGGCCCCTTTTGTATCATTGTTTTGTCTTAACAAATGTTGGATGATGGCAAAAACAATCCCTCTCTTATTTTGAAAAACTAAAGACACAAATGTCATTGATGGTTTATTCCATAACAGCATTTATTTCATAACAGCATTAACGGTGGTAAAAATATAGCATGAATGTTCAATCCAAAGAAAAGGTTCTGAGATGATCTTGGAAAAATGGCAAGAGTCATTTTAACACCTTAATATTTAGCCTCTTTTGCAGTAAATGCGTGACAAAATTTAATTTGGTGGAAGACATTGCTTTTCATGTTTAGAATCTGGAGGGGGGTTACATTTGCTTAGATTGAACTATCCCAGAGGTATTTGGACTGTTAAAAAAAAAAAAAAAAAGAAGAAAAAAAGTACTGTAGCTTATTGATGAGCAGGCCCTTACTTTTATTACGCACAGAAAACACTATTGGGGTTTGCTCAACATTCTGAAGCCCCTTAATTACATAATTAGCAGTACTATCTTTATTATGCCAAAGGAATAAAACCAAGAGGACGGCTTCTGGTTTATAGGAGTTATAACTTGTTAAAATGATCAGAGTGCTAATGTTTCAAATAAGAAAGACTTAATGCAAACTCACCAAACTCATTTACATGAAAAATTCCAGTGTGGGTTCAAGTACATAGCGAGTGGCGGAGAACTTATATTTATAAATTTTTTGTTTTTGTTTTTATGTTTAGAAATAAACTGGAACTTCTTACATACTGCAGTAGCTTAAAACTTGCACATTCTAAAGTGGATCCAGTTTACAGGGCAGATGAGACAATTGCATTATTAGTGTACGTATAACTACATCAATACTCTGTGTAGTTCTGTACTTTTAGTTTCACAGTGTGCTGCGTTTCCCTAGTGTATTTCTAAAGGGAGTTCTTGTACCGATTTTTTTATTGCAAATAAACAACTCCTCTAAATCTGTTTTGTGTTGGTCTCTTTGTCTTAAAATTTGAGAAAAACTTGGCTGTGCTTTGGTGGCGCAGTGGTTAGCGCACGAAACCCATGTATGGAGGCCTTAGTCCTCAATGCGGCCGACCCAGGTTTGAATCTGACCTGTGATCCCTTGTCTCTTCCCCTCTCATACCCGCTTTCCTGTCAGCCTACTGTCCAAAAAACAACGAGCCACTAGTGCCGTAAAAACCCGAAAACATTTTTTAGTAAAAGCAATCACAACTGTAAATGGATTTTTTTTTTTTTTTTTAAAGACAGTGGTGGTAACTTGTCATCCCTGTAATCTGACAAGCCAATGAAGTAAGACGGCAACCCTGGACAACTACAAAGTATTTAATCTAGGGTTTAAATGAACACTTCACGGAGTATTATTACTATTATGTCTGTCCTGCCTCAGCTGACATAACCCTGGTCCGTTACCTTTAGGCCAATAGAATATTATTCTAGATTAGATTCTTGGAGATCGTTCTGTTGGTGGACCGAATTAACCAACCATCTCACTGGATGCGTTTGAATTTATGGACTGCTTCTTCTAAGGACGATCCTTCGAAGTCCGTGAAAATAAGACGGAAGTTTTGGCTGTGATTCAAACAGGTCGAGCCTTCTGAGGCTTTCACTGCCATATGCTCTGTCACTTAGCAACCATGACAGCTGACATACAAAGCAGGAAAAGAATGAATACTGAACTTTTCAAGGCTGTTTCTTTTTTATGTATTTATTTATTTTGTTATTGTAAATTGAACAAAGACTACATTTATTAGAAGACAGTGGAATAAGTGGTGGTGAAAAACCGCCGGGTCTTCCCCCGGTAGATTCCTCTTCCTATAAATATTTGATTCTCTTTGCCATAATGCAGATCATTCTTTAATAAGAACCTTGTTTAAAAGACATACAAAATTTATTTTTTTCACGATTTGTATGGAAGTTGGTTGAGGACCCAAATGCAGAGACCAGGAGACAGAGCTGAATCTTGTATATTTAATGAAAAAACAGAGGCAGAAAACCAAAAATCCAGAAAGCATCAGGGAAAACTCAGGTGGAAGGCCAGAGATGAGGAAACAACTGTCATGATCGATTTAAGAGATCTGACCCACATGCAGAGAACCATTCAGAGAACCACGGGAAAAGTTTAATAGGTTTATTGAGGAGACTGTACAGGAGTTGAATCTGGAACTCAGAGAACAGGTGAACCGGAACTGGAAAGTCTGGAGAGGAGATCAGTGATCGGTTCATGGTCCGTCGGAAAATCTGGTTGAGTCTTGAGCACAGTGGAAGCAGGAGCAATGTTTGAGGGGGTTCTTGTCTTTCCTGGATCCAGTTGGTGTGGGTTTATCCAGAGAAGAGGACTGTCACTTGGATTTCCGAAAGGGACTTGAACGGAACGTGTGGATGTTTTCCCCTGCTCAGTTTGAACTCGGTTAATCCTTCCAGGGGAAAAAGGCCAGGCATCGAGTTACACAGGCAGGCTTCCTGCCGAAAGGCAAAAACAAAAAACAAAGTTAGACTCAGAGAAACAAAGGCTCAGGTTAGACTCTGCTAAACTCAGCTTGGCTAGAGTACCGAAAAGTGGCAAACACTCTGGCGTTGAGGTAGTTACAGTCCGCTGCTCAAATACTCTTCACTGATGAACCAATGAGCCACAGGTGTGCAGGAAGGCCAACGAGAACAGGGCACCACCTGCTGGTGGAGGGAGAGAAAAACACACAAACAACCCACACGAACTGGATTTCTGACAACAACAAGGAACCAGCACGAAGTGACTGCATAGGTGGAGTATATAAGAGGAACCGAACAAATGATGGACTAATGAGCTGAATAAAGAGCAGGTGTGAGTGGAACTAACTAGAAGGAAGCCAATGGGGAAGGAAACAGGGACAGGGGGTTAACAGAGAGTAACTAAAGACTGTTTGAATATAATGGAAAATAAACCAAAGATAAACAAAACAGAATAACTGAAAACTAAAAACTCAGAGTCCAAAAAGGGGAGAACCATGTAAGTTTTTAAAACCAAATGTGTCTAACGGACCTAGTGAATGCTTTTTTTTTACGCTTAAAACTACGACAAAATCATCCTGACTAAATCAGGAAATAAAGCAACGTGATTGGCTCTAAGGAGAGCGGAGACAGAGGACACTCAGAGTAAGGCCCACTTATGACCCCCCCCTCCCCAAAAAACAAATTGAAGCATAGTCAAAGGTATGCGTCTCAAATGTGAAACACAATACGAATACACATTGTGGACTAACCGATCTATCTTTGCTGACTCACATTTTGCAGCCCAAAAAAGTTTCATTAACCGCCTGGATATACGAAATCTCACCCAATTTGAACCAAAGTCTATTGTTCTTTTTCATAATATTCACTCTGTGTCTCGTTAATGGATGCAGCCTCCTGCAGCCCTGATAGAAGCATTTATCTCAATCTGCCAATCCTGATTGGCCGGTGAAAGTGCTCGTCTTACGCCACGCCCCGTAGCTCCGACTACTAAAGTGTGTGCGGATCACGGCACTTCAATTCAAAATCTCTTCTCACCTGAGATAGGGTGACCATATTTTCATTTGGGAAAACCAGGACACCTTGGAGCGGAGCGGGGCGGGGGGGGTTTGATTGAAAGAACAAATGTCTCATCATCGGGATTTGCTCCGTGATGAGAGGAAATGTAACTTGTTACTAGTTGTTTTAATGGTTATTGAGTCAGATATGTGGCGGTAATGTTTGGTTTATCTAAAGGTTTTTATCTGTTAACTGTGTAAATGAGTTTGGCTGGATTCTAATATATCTGCAGAGTGGGAACTATAAATCTGATAGGAGTTTCATTTTTTTTATTGTTGTTTNTTGTGGCCTTTCTCCAGGATGAATTCAAATCAATTCATTCATTAATACTAATCTAGAAGCAAAGACTGCTGGGAAACATATAGAAGAGAAACCAGTGTCGCTACCCGATCCGTACCGGTAGCACGATCCGTACCATCAGCTCATTTGCGCCTGCGCGAACAGAATAACTTCCGGGTCGCCAAAAAATAATGTAATTACGGTACTGAAAAAACTTTATTTATATCCTTAAATAATTAAAGAATACTCCAAAAATGAGTCACGCTACCCGCTACAACACGAGCACGCCCTAATTTTCTTACCTTTAACTTGAAAATGTGGAGACATCCTTTTTATTTTTTTTCTGGAATAAAAATCCAAATTTTCGGGAAATGTTCCCTTATCAATGAAAAACTGCAGGTCACGAAAGGTAGCAAATGAATCCATTGTGGGATCAGTACTGCTGGAGTGCATAGTTAAGTACAGAGTAAATCAAAGATTTAAACAAATTTAAATATATATGCTGTGTGACGTATATTTGCGCATGCTCAGAGCAGTCAAAGTAACTATCACAAGGCGATTGAACTTTTTTATGTATTTCTGTTTTTTTATTTTTAGAAAATGCAATATTGACGAAAATACAAAGATATACAAAAAGAAACCCATGCCGCTAAAAAAAATACAAAAGAATAAAAAAGTAAGAAAAAGGAAATATTGCCACTGGAAGTTATTCTGTTTGCGCACGCGCTAATGAGCTGACGTGCTTCCGGTACGGATCGGGTAATGACAACCAGTTCATCTGTGTGTGTCGCATTTAATGCAGATGGCAGAAACTCTTGCTGTAAAGCCGTCCAAAACGCCTGTCACACCTTGAACACTATCCCAGACACCGTGCAGGACGCTGGTTTGTAGCTCTGTGCAACGGTCTGTTGGTTTGCACACAAAGCCAAAACACGCAGCACCACGGCCAGTCTTTCGGGAAGACTCTCGGGTGAACTGTGTGTCATCCGGCGTTGGATGAGGGGCTGTAGACCTCGTCAAGCCGACACACGGACACCCACAATCCTAGCTAGTTCGTGATTGTCCCTCTTGCCTTATGGCGTGGAATAACAGCACAGACCACGCTTCAAAATTGGGCATGAATCAAAAATATCGGCGTCAGTCCTGCAACAAGCTAACTGCGACACACCACTGCGGTAGTTTAAC